AATAAATTGTTGGGCTGCAATTTGAAAAAATTGTAGACCTATAAATTCCCATTGTCATCCGTCTGTCCTTCCTTAATCTTGAGAGCAGAGTTAGATAGATGAAAGCTGAGACCAGATATGGAAAGATTAGGGGCAGGAGGTCCTGATTAACTACATACAAACTTCCAATGAAAACTGGAAATCATGTTATTTCAGTTCAAAAATTTTCCCCTGGAAACAGTTATATAGATGACTGGCATGACTCTATTGCTAACAGAAAAGTATGATGTACAGGGACAAGATACTACAAGAATTCCTTGTTAATTTAAAATTCAAGTGATGAAATAATCACAACTTTGAATTATCTTGCAATCCCAAAAACTAACTGTATTTTATGAGACAAGAGAAAAAGGGATACCTACGTACTACCCTTTCTTCTCTCGATGAAACCCAAAAATGTGTTACTGTAAAAGCAAAGCCATATTGATCAGATTAGAGTTATCCTCAGTCTATTGTTCTCTTATAGCATGGAGGTACTTTGATCCAAACAAATGAGTGAACATACTCATATAACAGTTTGAACAGAATTTTCACTTCATATTTCAACTAATCAAATTCCTTAATGTGTAAATCTCTAAATCTCCTGCTGGGAGAAAAGTATAGTTATGAACTAATGGGATTTCAAACTATCTGAGTTCAAAGGAACAAGAATTTCCTGTACTAATTTGAGTTGGAAAGCATATGTTTTAAATCTAAAAAGTTTTTAAAATGTAATTAAAAATTACAGCTCGGCATTATGACGATGTCACAATAAATATTTGCTCATTCTAATACTGATTCAAATAAATATCATCAACTTAAATTTATCACAGAATTACATCCACTATTCAATTGTTTTGTATTTTTCATCTGAATAAGAATTTTTGCATTTTTCATATACAGTGGTACCTCAATATATGTCTGCTTTAGAATATGTCTTGTTTGGATGAAACAAATTTTGCTCGGTTTACGACTTAATTCAATTATACGTGCCATCTATGAACAAGTAGCATTATTGGTGTACTGTACTACACCTGACTAGACATTCACAGTGCCACAGTTTATAACTTTGTTAAATTTCTTCTAATTTTAATTTGTAAGTAAAATTTTATTATTTTTATTAATCATGAATTGCAAAAAGGCAAATGAAAAGCAACAGAAAACTAAAAAAATGACTAGAATCACAATAGAACTAAAAAAGAGATTGTTGAGAAATATGAAGGTGGCATTCAGAAATATGAAGTGTGTGTTCAAGATTTAACTGTTTCATACCGTATTCAGAGAACAACGATATTGACAATTGTGAAAAATAAAGACATTATTAAATCTGTTAACATTGCGAAAGGAGTTAAATCAATTTCTAAACAGACATCGAAGACATTAGATCATGTTGAGAAATTGCTTTTTCTTTGGATAACTGAAAAACAGTGTGCTAGAGACAGCGTATCAGAAGCAAATTATTTGTGAGAAAGCTAAAAAGATACATGCTGATCTCATGAAAAATCAAGCAAGAACTAGCCAGGAAAACAAGGTGTTCAAAGCCAGCCATTTTTTTTACTTGAGAATAAATTAATCATTTTTACATTACTTCTTATGGGAAAGGTTGGTTTGGTATACGTCCTATTCGGTATAAGTCCAAACATTAGGAACGGATTAAGGTCATACTGTATTTCCATACATAGGTCATATACGACCTTATCCATCTGGATTAAGTGCATTCTGAGGTTCCACTGTATTTCCATATGTAGAACTCACTCAAACTGATCAATTTTTTTAATCTCTTCAAATTCAAGACTTAGAAGTTTCACTGTATTATAAATGTTTTTGATCATAAAGTACATTGATTTTCAAATCTTAAATATTTGACCTGCTTCATTTCAAGCATAAAGAAAAAAAATTATATTTATTTTAAAATATATTATTTTTGTTCGGCAGTTTTTACATATTTAGCTAAAAACTGTGTGTAAAAACAAACAGTAGAAACATGACATACTATTAATTCTTTAATTTACATCAAATTTTAAAATTTTTAATCAGTTCAAAAGATTATGTATTTGATATATTATAGCTTAGGTATATTTTTGTAACTATTTGAACAGAATCTTGTTATTTTCTAAACTTTATTTTAAAAGGAATTTAAGAAAAACTATAGGATGTTAATAAATAATATTTTCCTAAATGAAAAGATCTTCAAATATTTTATATTATTGCAAAAATTAAATAATTTTCATAATTTACCTGTTTTTCTTCTAGAGTTTCTAAAATAACTGTTAGATCTTCCCATGCAATCCTTAAATCATCATCACTTGAATACCAATAAAATAAATTAGCTAAATTAATACATTCACCCCGTTTGCAGTTAGTATCACACCAATTCAATATCCACTTCAATATAAACATGGCTCTTTTCCGAGAAATAGAATTAGAATGTTTAAGACCATGATTAACAATATCCCAAAACAACTTTTCTCTAGTAAAAAAAGGCATAGGTTTTTCTGGTGAAAAATGTTCCATTATGCAACAAAGTATTAAATAAGTTGTTGTATGCTTTTCTTGAAGATAATCATTCTCTTTATATTCAAAAAATGAAGAAATAGTGTTCCATGTACTTTTGAGCATACTGCATTCATTATCCATAACATATAACTTTTTAAAAATATATATCATTAAATGTGCTGTGACAGTATTATTTGTATGCTGTAAAATTATTTGTAAACTCTTACAAAGATTTATAAAATAGCTTTGAACATAAATGAGGATTTGACCAGACAGTTTTCCATTAATTGCCTTCACGACATCTAAAATGTAACTTAAAGCATTAATAATCTGCAGTTTTTCTTCTTCTTGAACTGTGTCTTCTTTCTCCATAACATTGAAACATTTAAGTGAAAAGTCTAATAATTTGTGTAATTCTTCATAACAAGCTTCTTTCCATTCACAATTAAGTAATTCTAATAAACTTATTTGTAAAATATCACAATATAATTGTTGATAAAGTGTAAACGAGAATTCGTTCACTTTATTTTCAATTAAAATTGAAATAGAATATTTAAAAACATCAAATAATATATCAAAATATTGTTTACAGTTGAACTTATCCGACTTCGATGAATTAATAACAGAGTTTAAACAAAATTTTAAAAGTTCTAATTCCGATTTTTTGCAATTTTTAGACGATTTTAACTGTTGTAATACCAAACGAAGAGGTTCTAAACAAAAATTTCGTTCAGATTCCATTTTTCACCCAACCATGTGGTAAACACGTTAACAGTAAATTAACATCAGCACCTTCTAGTGGCGATTTTTATCAATACACATAATTAAATATATTTTTAATTAAAATTTGTAGAGAGCTTTTAAATGATTTTGTGTTTTAATAAATTGAAACATATTTTAAATTTCGTAAATTATAAAATATTTTAAAGTTATAACATGAAAGATTAACACCTCCTACCGTACACACGAAACATTTGCTACTATCTTCCGCCATCTAGTGAATAAAAATAAAACTTTATATACGGTTACGATTGGATGAATTTTATTATAGATAATTACACTATTACAAATACTGTAGTAACTACTTAATAAAAAGAATAATTATTTTAGACTTAATGGAGCATACTTCTGCGGAGTTTCAATTTGCTAAAAGAGATTATGAAATTGTAGAAAAGTGATTCTGCAAGTCGATTCTGCAACTGCCTCTAAGGATCCTTGTCCATAGGATCTATAGGGGCAAGATAGGGGCAGTTATAGCAGATGCCCTTCCCTTTTGTAGGCTATACATTTACACAATATGTTGTACAGTTTAGGTTTATTTATACTACAAAAAGGTATTTCTGAATTTTGTCAGTTTGGCATTTAGGTTTCCGTAGATTCTAAGTAATTGACTTCCTGGAAAGATTAGATTAATAATGGCGAGGAAAAAAGCATTTCTAACTGACAGGTAGAAGAGATGTTTGCGCTTTTACACGTATTAAGCTAGATATGCTTCCAAAAGCACCACTCTGATATGGAAATTATTCATTTGAATAGAGTAAGGAAGAAATAATTCTTCCAGTTTGGGGTCTGTAGCTGTTTCTTTAGAAGTTCTGTCGGCCTATTCGTTGTCCAAAATTCCCTAATTATCTAGAATGTAAAACAATTTAATATTTTTCTATTTTTTATCTTTACGTTTGATATTTCTCACTTAGCACAGCCTTTAAATCATTATACATGTGAATGCGGGTTCGAGTTTTGCAACTGATTGGCCCATTCGCTAACTTCACAAATAGGTTGCCCGGAAATTAGTGGCGTGCAGGACAAAATAGAACAAATATGAATTAATTCAATACAAAACTTTTAAACTTAATGAATTAAATTTATCTTCAGTTTTAATCATTTATAAATAAACTTTAATGCAATCTTTTATTTACTTTAAAAACTAATATTAATTAAAACACGTTTCACCCTCAATTCATCAAGACAATGGTGCCACATTACATAAATTTTCGAGAAAAACAAATGAGAGAAAAATATTTTAACTTCTCTTTCATAAAAAACAAAAATAAATTAACGAAGATATTTTACAAAATTACTTACTTAAAATTTTAAAAGTGTTTAGTTTTAATTTAACGAAAAAAAAACTGTTTCATCGAAATGAGCAATTTCTTAAAGAAGCTCTTCCAAAAATAAAAAAAAATAAAATAAAATAAAAAATAAAAAAAAGCGAGTGGAGCGAAATGAAGAATGTGTGACGTCTCTAAATATCTCCCGGAGCAAATTCATACGAGATTTAACCAAATACCGAGAAAATTTTTGTCATTTTACCGCTCGAAAGCATCGATGTCAGCAAATCCATGCGCCTTCTAACTCCTTTTGTAAGACGGGAGGGAGGAGGGTGTAAGCGCTTTTTTATTCTTTTTATTTTTCTTCTTCTTCTTCTTCTCAGTCATTGGTATGTCGCACCTTCCAATGATGACGACGGTGTCGCTAATTGCTCGCCTGGGCACGTCCTCCCTTTAGAACGACTGCGCTATGCGGGGCATGTCGGATGTCGCGTTCCGACCAGTCTTCGCCACATACCAAGAGATTTTTCGGTTGGAAACGACCGCATACCTCACTACCCCATCCGAACGCTGAATAATCCGACGAGACAGGTGGACGGAGTCTGTCAGTTCAACGTTTGCTTCTCTACGAGTTGCATCAACGTTATGGACGCTCTCTTTCGACAAACGGTGAGTACCGAAAAAAAACCCAAAACTTCATTTATAATACTTCTCTATAGCATTTACGAGACTTTACGAAGTTTCTTTAGCTTTTCTTAACCTTTACACTCTTATTTTCTTTCTAATTAAACGACTAACTTACCTGGTATGTCTGCGCGTTATATACGATTAGCGTTAAAATTCCACCTTTTCTCAGTTAGCTAGTGACTTTACGAATCTTAAAAGTTACACAAAAGTTTTAACCGTGTGTATTTTTTACGTATTTCAGGTAAATTTCGCATATAATTTCGAGAAAAAACGAAAAAATTAATATGGAAAAAGAGAATAAATCGGAAAAAATCTCCAGTTCGGTAGAAGATAGCAAAGAAGACGAAGCGGTTGCGTCCGTCCCGTTACGTCAACGTCGATTTCCGGCCTCGTTTTGGCAGGAACCATCCCGACTTCCGGAAAAATGGTTATACGTCAGCCAAGTTCCGAATCAAAATCCCGGTTCTTCGGCTTTCGTTAGTCAAACGAATGTATCAGTTATGTCGAGACCGTCCTCGTCGGGAATGGTCAACTGTCCATGTTCGGCATGTAAGACGCCATTTTATTATCCATTAAGATGGACTGTGCCATATTATTGTCAGACGATCGTTTCTCATCCTTATTCCTTCTATCCCAACGTATCACCCCAGTGTTGCCATCCATGTAAAATATGTGATTCGCCCAGATTCGAAAGTAGGAAAAGTTTTAGATATTATCCCGTTTGATTGGCAAACAAATTGAATGTTTCCAATATATAATTTTCATTTTAATTCAATTATTTTATAAACATATTTTTAGCCGTGTTTTATATTCAAATTGTGTATAATTATACAGTTATAACTATGAGAACTCTTCTTTATAAGAGTTTACATAGTCATGTATTTATAGATTTAACTTAATTAATTTAATCATAAAAATTTAATATATATTTATATTTAATCTTTTAATATGAACAACATTAGTTACTTGCAATTTTTATTTATTTAAATTGAAGATGAAAAATAATATAATTGTTCTCTTATTTGTAAGAATATTTATTCCTGATATATAATTAATTAAATTTGTACATTATATATTATTTTTTCGAAATATTAGATTGTTGTAAAAGTTATAAATAGGAAAAAAAAAATATTGTAATAGTTAATTTAGTGAAGAATAAATAAAGAAATTTCTGTCTTAATATTTCTTCTTTATTTTTAATTTATTAATTAATTAAATACATAAAAGTTTTATTCTAGATTTTTACGGTAATTTATTAAAACTAACAAATCTAAAAAGAACGTGTCGTTTCTTTGCATTATTTTAAGTTAAAAACAAAAAAAAATCGATTTTTTTCGTGCTTTTAGAGTTTTAATTCGTTAATTTTATTAATTTTACATCGTTTAGAAACTTTTTATTTTCTCATTTTGCTAGAAAATTGTTCGAATAGTTCATTTATTTTCTCGCTTGCTCAATTTTTAATCATTTTATCCAGTTAAAAAAAAAAACAAAAAAAAGGTATTTATCCGAGTTACAAGTAACTCGGGCACTTATTAAAGCTATTATTACATTTACAACCGAAGCTATCCTCTTTATAAACGATTAAGTTTTAAACTCTTAAATTAATCACTAAGATATTATTAAAGTTAATGACTTATAAATTAATTTCCAGCTAATTAAAAATCATTTTAAAATTAAATTTTTATAAAAATCTAATTAAGAAAAGAAAGCGAGTAATAAAAGATATCTAATTATCGCGTATAGAGGAGAAAGATTTGATCGAAGGGAAGAAACTAGGACTCATTAAACATGATTCATAATTGTTAGGAGAGTGTAGAGCTTGATACCTGTAACTAGGAAACACACAATGGATACAATTTCCAACGCGATTCGTAACATCGCTTATAGAAAGTCGGAGCTTTCGCTTTTCCGACAAACGTGTTTTTCACATCCCAAGCCAACCATTCCTGGAATGTCGTTTCTACATTCCTAGCATTTGCCCGGACCGAGAATATTGGGAATGTACCATCGATCCAGAATAATTACAGATTCCAGAGAACAAGTATGTACAGCTAAGCTCAGTGCTTTCAACCTTGAGATAGATCTTTGATTGAGAAAGTTAGGAAACTACGAACACCTAAGTTTTCCAATGAACGATATGATCTTATATCCTGCCTTATGACTTTTGTTTCTGACAATTTAATGTATTACTTTCTATTCAAACTCTCTCTATTCTTCGTCTAGTATAAGTGATAAAAATCTCAATTATTTTTCTTTCTTCTCGTCTCCTCCTTATACATACGTAATTAAAGTTCTTTGCTAATCGTAATCGATAACACCAGTCGGAGATTTATCGCCTTGGTTAATAATATCGAACGTTAGTTTTATTATGTCAATGAATATCAAATTTTACGAGGTGATTAAATATTAATTTGATTAAGCTGAATTACAGTAAATGATGGATAAATAAATGATTTTCGTAATACTAAGTGACGATTTCGTACGAAACGTCTAGACTCGAGAGTGATTTTCTTCGTATTTTTCGAGTGATTTTATAGAAAAAAAAAACACGTTAAAATTTTATTCTAATGTTTAAATTTGTTATTGAGTTTAAACACGTATTTATATTTTAATA